GGGGCCAATGTACAGCTCAGGATGTGGCTTCAGAGGGTAAAAACTCCCAGCCTTGGCAGCTTCCATGTGATGTTGAGCCTGCAGCTGCACAGAAGCCAAGAACTGAGGTTTGGGAAGCTCTGCATAGGTTTCAGAAGATGTATGGAAACACCTGGATGCCCAGGCAAGTTTGCTGCAGGGGTGGGGCCCTCATGGAGAACGTCTGATAGGGCAGTGGGGAAGGGAAATGTGGGGTCAAAGCCCCACACAAAACCCCTAATGGGGCACTGCCTAGTGGAGCTGTGAGAAGAGGGCCACTGTTCTCCAGACCCCAGGATGGTAGATCCACCAACAGCTTGCACCGTGTGCCTGGAAAAGCCACAGACACTCAACACCAGCTCGTGAAGGCAGCTGGGAGGGAGGTTGCACCCTGCAAAGCCACAGGGGTGGAGCTGCCCAAGACCATGGGAACCCACCTCTTGCATCATCGTTACCTGGATGCGAGACCTGGAGTCAATGAAGATCATTTTGGAGCTTTAAAATTTGACTGACACGCTGGCTTCTAGACTTGCATGGGCCCTGTAACCCCTTTGTTTTGGCCAATTTCTCCCAGTTGGAATGGCTGTATTTACCCAATACCTGTACCCACACTGTATCTAGGAAGTAACTAGCTTTCTTCTGATTTTACAGGCACAAAGGTAGAAGGGACTTGCTTTGTCTCAGATGAGTCTTTGGACTGTGGACTTTGGGTTAATGCTGAAATGAATTAACACTTTAGGGGACTGTTGGGAAGGTATGATTGGTTTTGAAATGTGAGGACATGAGATTTGGAGGGGCCAGGGGTAGAATGATATGGTTTGGCTGTGTCCCCACCTAAATCTCAACTTGAATTGTATCTCCCAGAATTCCCACATGTTGTGGGAAGAACCCAGGGGCAGGTAATTGAATCACGGGGGTTGATCTTTCCCATGCTATTCTTGTGATAGTGAATAAGTCTCACGAGATCTGATGGGTTTATCAGGGGTTTCCGCTTTTGCTTTTTCCTCATTTTTCTCTTGCCGCAGCCATGATTCTGAGGCCTCCTCAGCCATGTGGAACTGTAAGTTCAATTAAACCTCTTTTTATTCCCAGTTTCAGGTATGTCTTTATCAGCAGCATGAAAACGAACTAATACAGTGGGCTTTTGTGACTATGCACCACCAAAAAAGGACCCTCTCGGGTCTCCTACCCTGTCCCCAATCCACCTCATAAGCTCCAGGTGGAGGTCTGGGTAAAAGACCCCACAAAAGACCCAGCAAAAGACCCAGCCAGCAGACTAAGGTGGCCAGGTCATCCTGGTTTGCCTAGGACTTTCCAGTTTGAGCACAGAAAGTCGTGTTTCCTGGGAAACTCCTCATCCTGGGGCAGATCTGGATGCTTGGTCAGCCAGGTGTCTGAGTCTCCCAGGGATTCTAAACTTACGCTAGGTTCCACTCAGCTATCGAGAATTCATTGAAATTTCTGTTGTTTTCTTCCTTCCCACTCTTACGGCCATTACCCTCTTCCTTCCATACTCTGCTGAAAGTCAAACCATTTGTGTGTTTCCTTTGAAATTCAGTTCTTCTGGTTGCTCTCCTATCTCGATTCATTAAAGGGCTCAAAAGTTATAATTTTATAGACTATCTGGCTTTTTCTCATTTTTAGAGTAGGGATGGTTATCTGGTGGCTTTCTACATCCTAAGTGGAAAAAAAAAAAAAAAAAAAAACTCCTCATCCCCTTTGCTTCTAAAGAATTGAGCTGCGGCATTAGAATGTTGCCCTTGTGGAAAGACATTATAAGAAGCTGCACAAAGTGACCCCTGCATTTACTGTAAAGATGCTCTCATGAACGTAGTTCCCCACATCACACAGCGTAGAAATGTATCATGAGTCTTAGTACCAGTAATAGTTGTGTTTCCCTGGTCGAGTTGTTTTCCTTTTATGAATGTTGTGGATTTAGCAACTAGTAATTTCCTTCTGTACTTTGAAGACTCAGGACCCAATTTATGTTTAGATTTAGCCACGGTACATGATCTTTCGGACAGAATTTTTGCATTTTAACTTTATCTCTGGCTTTATTTTATTTTATTACTCCTATTTTTACTCCCCCTCACTTACTTATCTGTTGAGAGCTTATCCTGTTATAAACCACCAGAAAGGATTATTTTAATGAAATAGTATCTGAAAGGCAACTTGTAACAAATGAGGGCATTAATGAATTGACAAAATTTAATTGATTTTACGGTAATGCTTTCTAGTCAACACTGTAAAAATGCATCTCTAGAAGGAAGGATCCTTTGGGGGAGTGCGTCTGGAGTAAAGGAAAACAAAGGCCTTGAAAAGGGGAACCCTGGCCATTGCTTATTCCTCTGGATGCTCCCATCTCCCCATTGGCCCCAGCCAACTTGGATGCTGCCACACACTCTAAGAGCAATTACTTCACCTCCTTCTCACAATGTCACTGCCACGCAGAACTAAAACTATCTTTACGAGGTGAGCAGACAGAAATACAATTATTTATGGTGAAGCACAGCCATATGGCTTGTGTTTTTTAAAAGTCAGCTTCTTCTCTTATGAAATGGAGCTCTAACAAGTGTTTATTCTCTCTCTCAGAGGAACGTCTTTTCCTGGGAGGATAAAGAAGGGATCAGGCTTGTGCAGCCTGGACACAGGAAAGGTAGGAAGCCCACTCTGTCAGTGGGAGGCCCCTCTCTCCCAAGGGCCCTCCAATGCCAACCCTCCCTTGGACCCTCCCTCATTACTCCCCTCCTTCCTCCACTTTCTCTGTTGTCCTCCTCCTCCCAGCCAGCTTGCCATGTCGGAAGGGATATTGGCTATCCCTCCAATAAAGAATCTAGATTGTGACTGCATTGAGCGAAATCAAACCCTCAACCCAAAAAAGACAAGACTAAAGAAACTAACACAGCTTGGTGCATACTTTAACCTTCTCCAATTATTTATTTTATTCATCCAAATCTCAAGCCAAGGTTGATGGGGAGAAATGAGGCACAATGCAAATAACACAGAACTTTTTAAGATCACAACTCCATGGACTTGCACAAAGAATGAACAAATCTCTTACTTAGAAATTAAATCCACTCAATGGCTTATTAAATCACCCAAGAATTCACATTGCCACCTGGCTCGATGCCTCTTTCTTTCATCACAGGATAGTGTAGATGCTATAAAATAATCAGCACCCTTCTCTAGAAAGATTCACTTTACATTTGCCGTTACCCTCCTTGTTTTCCCTGGGTGGACCTCAGCTCACAGCTTATGAGAGAACCAAAAGGCCAAGCGGGAAAGGAAATGAATCTTCATGAATCTATTCCTTCATGTGCCAAGAGCTTGCTCCCCTGCTTCTTAGTGAGATTGCCATGAGGTAACCACAAAAATTCAAGAGAGCTATTATCAAACTTCAGGGTTGTAAAACCACGGATTTATTTATTTGTTCCTGAAAGGGTCTAAGCTGCCTAAATAGCTGTTTAATTGCGTATTTCTCATTAGAGCTCCGTTTTCCTTTTAGAGTACAGTGGACCCAGTGTTGTTCTTTATGAAAGTAAGCATTAGGGATAAAGGGGTTTATGACCTGAAACCTTTTTCCATGCTGAACACACATGTTGTCTTGACTACACCAATGAAGGAAAACTCTCTGTTCTGTCAAATAGGTTTAGGAAAGGGCAGAGCCTGATGCTCCCACAGAGCAAGGGAAGCCTCACACACACAGGCATGGGACAATAGGTGTACAAACTGAATTGTGCAATAGCACTTAAGCTCTGGCTATTTTTCTCCTGCATGAGCTCTGCAGAAATCCAGATGGCAGCCCTAAAGGCTATGCCTTAAGCAGAAAAAAACATACTTCTGACCCTCAAAGGGACAAAATGAGATGGCTGCTCTGACCAGCTGTGTACCAGCTGTGAGGAGGCCTTTGAACTCTGTGGGTCTCAATGTCACTACCTATCTTATGAAGTGGTCGGAATAGCTGATGTCTGAGGTCTGCTTCAGCTCTTTAAGTCTAAATTCTGAAAAACAAGCAAAACTCAACATTTTCTTCAAGGTTGGCAGGAAAACGCCTCTTCCGTGAAAGCTTCAGCAAGACCAAGAGACAGTATCTTGTGAGCTAGGACACTGTTAGATTATTTTAGCCAAAAAACACTCCACGGAAACCTCAATTAACTATAATTTTGTTGCACTCTATTTTTAAAAGTGGGAAGAAATATGTTTAGAGATGAGCACACATTCAGACCTTTACTGTATTTAATCCACATATATATCCTAGCCCTAAACAATGACAAACTGTCATTGAACACAACAGCCCTAGAACACTGAGAATACCTGAATTATCAAGGGAAGGTTTCAGCTTTCATAGAGTTCACGCTACCCTGCCCTATATTCAGATGAAGAGGTTCCACAATCATGCTAACTTGAAACGTCCACTATCAGGCGACAGCACTGGGGTCCCCCCAGTATGTTAATTACCTAATTAAGTCAAGGTTGGGCTAAATACTATTTTAGAAAGCGCCCTCTTGTGGCAAAAAAATGAAATTGCCAAATGGCAGTTTTGTCCTGAGACTGAGTACTGCCATTTATTGTACACTTATTTCATCTCAAGGATCGGCCTGGATGTTTTACGTGGGTAGTAAAATAAAGGACTTAAGCAAGGTGGTTTTCAATGTCATGGAGAGAACTGGAAGTCTTTTGTGTCTCAGAGTTCAAGCTACACCTGAAGATTTATTTCACCAAGTGTATTCATTCTCCCTGTGAATTCCTCAGCACCAAGAGTGGCGTCTATCCTCAGGACATTTTCCCGCACGTTTATTGTACTTCCTTGTAGTTCTGAATTGTGGCTGAGAGGCTCTATAAGTCATACTTCTTTATTTCCAGCACACAGCCCCTAATTTCATGAAGAGAGAAGAGAAGAAAGGAAACGACACTACAGACAGGGTGAATGGGAACGGGGGAAGGAGGGACAGAGAAGCACACCTCAATATCTTGTGAAAATCTCCAGAAGTCCCAGGATATTTTAATTCAAACAAAATTACTTAACATCTATGATTTTTAAGGTATTTAATGAACAACAAGAACATTTATTTATATGATTGCAATCTGTATTTTTCAGTAATCAACATCATCCTCAGACCTTCCAAGTTTCCTCTGTGACTTATATAGTGAGTTTCTGTACTTAATACCACTGGTGCTCATTTCTCAAAACAGTTTGCTAAATATTGACAATGCATTCCACAAACACAGGCCTGAGAAGACAAATATTTCCATATATTCCAATTACAAGTGTTCGGCCCCTTCCTTAGAGAGTCCATATCTCAGCGCCCATGCCGGGGTGACCGCTTCACAAGAGTTTGCAAACTCAAATGCTTACTAGCTACGTAGTTCCAGTTCTGGTGTGGAAATGTGGGCTCTGAATGCTCAGATCCTCCAGCTTTTTAAATGAAATTAGAATGCCAGAGTTTTATGAAGGAATCTCCTAATTTTTACATTTTTGAAACTTTGTAAAAAACAAAAAAAGTCTGAGGCAAACAAAACAGGTTTTCTGCCCAGATGTGCCCTTCTGTCTGCAACTTTCAGCCTCTGCCTGCAGCTCATGTGAGCGAGGCATTCAAGCTGCCCCTAGGAGACACCTTCTTGAACAGGTTCTGAGAACTACAATGAAGAAGTTCTAGGAAAGGAAAGTTGCTTGGGGCTTCTGCTGTACTTCACATCATTGTGGACATCTGGTGGAGGCAAGCAGCATGTAACCTCATCATTAATTCTCTCTGTTTTACACTTACTTTTTTTTTTTTTTTGGATATTGCCACCAGTTTCCAAGAACATGAAAGTTTGCAATGTCTATTGTAAAACTGTTCTCTATCCTCTTAGTAGCCATCCAGGATCATGCTGTTCTCTACTCTCCCAGCAGCCATCCAGGGTCATGCCTTTTTCTTTGTGGTTATTAAAACCTGGCCTTCAAGAATAGCCATACCAGTTTTCCGGGGATTGTGAAATCTTCTGGAAAACAGAGGCACTCATCAACTAAGACACTGCATACATTTGAAATGAGATCAATGCATCAGTATCTTCTCAGCACTATGAGGAGAGGGCTCCTGTATTCAAGGTCTATCTAATAATTTCTCATCTTTCCTAATTAACCAAGGAAAAGGAAGACGTGACTGGGGTTTTCATTTGGGAGTGGGTTTGCTCTGGGTCTGTGTGGCTTCAGAGTTTAAATCTCTGCTACTCTGTATGCGTACAAAATGTATACCTTTAATAAGGTCTATAAGCACTGCCTTCAAGCCAAAAAATTCTTGATTACAGAGTTGTCCTACATTGACAGGGAGTGGGTATGAAGCCACGTGTACTTGGATTGCCCAGTGAAAGAAATAGAAGTTTGTACTTTCTCAGAGCAATACCTAAGAAGCAACCGTTGCCATTTGGAAAAGTGGCTTTTTGAAGCTTCAATTGGAGATCAGGATAGGGGTCCCTGGAAGGGTAGAAGTAAACTCTAAGCAGGCACCACTCAGAATCCCCAGGCCAGCTGGCAGAACGCCAGGAGACCTACTATTATATATGCACATACATATATATATATGGAGGACTATTATATCATGGAAATTACAGTTTCAGCAGCTTGACAGTTTTCATCAGCGTTGTGGGAGCTTTGCTCCTTTTTAATTTGGTTTCTTTAAAAGATGAATGGAATAAGGGCTTTCCGAGATTTGGGGTAGTCCTCAAACATCTTGAGGTAGAACCTAAAAGACAAGAAAGGAATCATTGTACACATAATGGGGCAGTGGCTGACAGCTGAGGTTTGCTGTTAACAAATCTTTGTTACAAGTCAACCTACAGTTATCTCGAGTCTGACTATTTCGATAGTCATTTATGATTCTTATTTCTCCTTCCCACAGCCTATTTCTTGTAAATGTTGAAGCTTCTTTTGCTGGGAAATGAAAAGTAATAGGCAGAGGGTAGTGGTGATGGCTGTGCAACATTTTGAATGTACCTAATGCCACTGAATTTTACACTTAAAAATGGCTAAAGTGGTAAAATTTTTGTTATGTATATTCTACCAGAAAAAAAAAAATGTATCCGGAAGGAAGTACTTGTTTGGATTCAGCTGGGAAATACAGGGAACCAAAGACTATGGGCAAAGAGAACCAGCAATGTTCCCAGGAAAATGTCCTTTCATAAGGCCTGGGAATGCTAGCAAAATATCACCATGTATCATGAGTTGAATTCTGTCTTGTCAAAAGATATATTAAAGTCCTAACTCCCAGTATCTGAAAGGGTAATTTTTTTTTTTTTCTGGAACTAGGACCATTGCAGATAAAATTAATTAAGATGAGGTCATACTGGAGTAGGGTATGCCCTTAATCCAATATGACTGTGTCCTAAAAAGAAGAGGAGAAAACACAAAGAGACAGAGACAGAGACACACAGGAGAGAAGGCCATGTGAAGACGGAGGCAGAGATCAGTGATGTAGCTATAAGCCACAGAACACCAAGTGTTGTCGGCCACCATTAGAAGCTAAAAAGAGGCAAGGAAGAATTCTTCCCTAGAGCCATCTTGGGGGCATGGCCCTGCCTACACCTCGATTTCAAACTTCTAGCCTCCAGAACTATGAAAGGACAAATCTGTGTTGTTTTAAGCCTCCCAGTTTGTGGTCATGTGTTACAGCAGCTACAGGAGACAAATGCATCTTATAAGAATCCTTTCTCCTTAAGTTGCCAGGCTGTCCTCCTAACTAGTTGACACTGGCAGTCCTCAAGGCATAATTAAGATGATACACTCTGTTAAAGTACCTTAGTTTGAACTAGGGGGCAAATAATAAGTTACAAAAGGTGGCTAGTTTTCGGTACTGTGATTTGAGAAGGCTGGTGGGCTGCCTCCGCCAGTGCTGCCTCTGCTGTGAGTGCCTGGCTTTGTTTTATAGGAGCCTTCACAAAGTCCTGTTAGCCTATTAAAAACTATGCCTTCAGGCCCTTCTCTAGGAGGTATGACATCACAGAATGAGGCCTCAGTTTGGGTTTTATTGTTGCAGCAGCTGGAAACATCTGGTGGAATTATAGCCCCTCTCCTAACCAAGCACGGTAGAGTCCACGCTTCCCAGGGCCCTCCAAGTGCTGGGTGACGCCTTCTCTTCTCCCCTGCTTGCTCTGCCTCTGGTGGGCAGCAGACCCAGCCTGAAATGGTAAGAACTCTTATGAGTCTCTTATGGGCTAGGAACCCTCTGCCACCTTTCCTCACAGAGTCTAGGAGGTGGTAGGAATAGGTCATGAGCTGTTGCTTCATTTCAGAACGTTGTCCTCGAACAATTCTACTCAGAAAAAAAGGAACTCATTCTTAGTTAAATCTTCAAAACTAGGCATTGAGTCATAATCCCAGGGTCCTGCTTCCAAGACCATTCATTCCCTGTTTGAGTATCCATAGTCTCCAGTAATTATAGGCTTTCTCTTTCCACAAAAGCCATTTTAGGGAAAGGATCTGAAATTTACACTTGGTAATTTAAAGCCTGTTAACAACCTAATATATTACCTTTCACTTCCAGCCATACTTTTAGTTAATTCTTTTGTCCCCACTCCACCCTAGGTTAGTGAAGCTTTAGGCCAGACCTTCAGAGGGAGGGTTCCGAAACACCTGCAATTCCTGGCATTTCCCAGCAGATGGGGCAGTCCTAAGATTGCCCCATACATGCGATTTCTTGTCCTGCCTTCCTCGGAAGCCAGGGTTGGCCTTGGTTATGATTTATAGAGGGTGGGTGTCAGGGAAGGAAGGCAGTACCAAAATAAACCCTGGCATTGCAGAGATTCCAGGGGAAATAATCCTTCTGGAGTTCCAGGGCTCTGTGATTACCTGAACTGTTAGCACCAAATCTTGTAGCTAAAAATAGCAGCCACATAGTCACCAAAATAGTACTTTTTCCCTGTGGCTCTCTAGCCTGCTGTGCCTCAGAACATCTGTGGAGGCCAGGCGCGGTGGCTTATGCCTGTAATCCCAGCACTTTGGGAGGCCGAGGCGGGCAGATCACTTGAGGTCAGGAGTTCAAGGCCAGCCTGGCCAACATGGTGAAACCCCGTCTCTACTAAAAACACAAAAAGTTAGCTGGGCATGGTGGTGGGCCTGTAGTCTCGGCTATTTGGGAGGCTGAGGTGGGAGAATCGCTTGAACCTGGGAGGTGGAGGCTGCAGTGAGGCAAGATCGCCCCATTGCACTTCAGCCTGGGAACAGAGTGAGACTCCGAGTCAAAAATAAATAAATAAATAAATAACTATCTGTGGAGCTTTGGAAAGTGCTGGCCATGGTCCTACCTATGGCACACATTTCCAGAAATGTGGTGGGAGGGGATGAAATTGAAGCATGGAAATGGAAGCAGCTTCTTCTGCTTCTTGAGGCTTTTTCTAACCATCTCCAGGTAAGCCTGCCTGGTGGGCACAGAGCCTGGGTCAGCTAACTCACGTGGGTGCAAGGCACTTCTCGCTGGACAGCCTTCTTCAACAAGACAGGCACAGGACCTTCCCGGCCATCATCTCAGTTTACATGGACTTATGTTTGTTCTTAAAGAAAATTTTATTACTGCTACTCTCATCCAGCTAGCTTCCAACTTCAATACAAGCCCAGTAAGTCAGAATATGCTAACCCAGATTATTGTATCAACCTTCCCTTAAAAAGATAAATATCTTTGGTTTCTAAATCTTCCTCTGCGGGTTAAAAGCCTGTTTGGAGAAGAAGAAAGCTACATGAATGCTGCCGCTTTTATTGAAAAGTTTACCTATGGTGGTGAAAAGCTCGCAGCCCAAGGAAACAAACTGAGAAAAATGCAAATGCAAGTGCTGGGAGGGACCAAGTGGCCAGCGCATAGCCGATCCATTCAATGATCTCACCAAGGAAATTGGCTCCAGAAACATACGTAAACAAGCCACCTGCATGCAGAAGAATCAGAAGGTCAATCATTGCAACTGAATCATTGTGACATTAAACTCATCTGTGTTGTTCCAAAATACACAAAGGCAGCAAGAACAAATGTGGGGCTGGAGACTCCCTCCATAGTTGTAGGAGTCTGGTGGAATCCTCTTGGGGAGAAGGGGAAACAAAGCAACAACAGCCGTTGCCTGGAGAACATTCTGGAGTCACGAAGAGTGGCCTCAACTGCTTAACAGGCTCTCTCCAAATCTCTAACAACTGCTGGACCACTAGCTTTGGGTAGGACAAGGGAGAGGTGTAGGAGGTCTGGCTTTTGTTTCGTTCTATTAAGGAAGGTTTTGGGGCCACTTCTTACCTCCCCATTCCTTTCCTGGACACCCACACTTTCACATTCACAGTCGCAAAATGTGAAACTGCACACTACATTAAAATAATAAAAATCTGAACTTACGGGAGAAGGAATTTAGATTCTCTTATGGGATTTGCCCCTCCCCACCCTTCTGCAAAGCACTGTCCTCTGTTCATGTTTAAAGTAGAGAGTAGGAGCTGCAGGTATTTGTCCTGCTGGAGACTGGTGAAGTCGGCTTCTTGATTTTAAATGTTTCATTTTCTATCCAACCAGGTATTTCTTCTCTCAGGACTGTATCTAGAAATCAGCATATTTCTAATGATATTAAATATATCCACACTCAAATTTTATTACCCACATTAAACTGGGGATGTTTAAACCAAAACAATTTTGTTCTTTCTATAGTTATATAAAAATATTTTGTGTTTAAATCATTCTCTATTATAATTCAAAAGTTGGGAACTAATCTTGGCAACTGGTTTTTAAGCACTTTCTCTGTTCTTCTTTATTTATCTAGTTATGGAGTGAATGTTTTTAAAATCAAAGCCCCTTAGAGTTGAATCTTTCTTGAAGATGAGATTGCATCAGTGGTTCCCAACCTGTGATTCTCTAGGACCTGGGAGGAACCAGAGATCTAATGCAAAGGGCCTATAAATTGTCTATGAATACAGTAAATGGCGTACCCTAACCTACTAAATTATTTCTGTTTGATGTAGATACTGTTAGGATATTAACAACATTCAAATTCATTTGAATATGTTACTGAATTCATAGTAACTTTGACACCAATGACTATTAATGTGCACTAACATCATGTCATAATTGAGGAAATTTTTTGATGTAAATAAAGGGTTGTATTTACATCAAAAAGGGTAGAAGCCAAGGACTTACACAAATACCCATCTAAATCTATTGAAGGATGACTTGGACTGATTCACTCCCATCTGCATATATTTGTCCTTCTCATACCCTGGTTTCTTTTTTTTCTTTTTTTTTTTGAGACGGAGTCTCGCTCTGTCACCCAGGCTGGAGTGCAGTGGCCCGATCTCAGCTCACTGCAAGCTCCGCCTCCCATTCTCTGGCCTCAGCCTCCCGAGTAGCTGGGACTACAGGCGCCCGCCACCTCGCCCGGCTAGTTTTTTGTATTTCTTAATAGAGACGGGGTTTCACCGTGTTAGCCAGGATGGTCTCGATCTCCTGACCTCGTGATCCGCCCGTCTCGGCCTCCCAAAGTGCTGGGATTACAGGCTTGAGCCACTGCGCCCGGCCTCTCATACCCTGGTTTCTTTGGAATGGTTAGGATTACAAACATGCTCACCTTTATCTCCAAAAATGCACTTGTGCTTGTAAGATCTCCCATCCTAAGTTTCTATTAAGTAAATATAGTTCTCTATACCTTTAAAAGTATATACAAGTGGCAGGAAATACACAAGTTCTAGCCTTAACTGCTCACAAGATAAGTCTAGATCAATTAGAGGGGACACATTTACTGGCCAAGCATTCAGCATCATTTGCAAACCTAGAAAGGATCAGCCCTCTGTACATGACAATCTTACCTACTGCAATGAGGTTGTAGGTAGCTGATTCCAACCCTACTCAAATCTCCCACTCTCTCCCACTTCCAGGTATTGTGGCCTCGCACCTTACTGAGGGCCCTGGTAGCTCTCTTGAGCTTCTAGGTTCAGGTCAGAAATGCAGACGTACTGTGATGGGACTGGGTATGCAGGGGAAGTCAAGAGCAAGCTGAGAGGTATTGTATCATCTGTGCCCTCACCGTCCCCTCTCCATCTGCTACCATAGCATCATCCCCGGAGCAGGCTCAAGGGAAGAGTGAGTCTGGGGGCAGGGGAGACATTACCTTGTGGAATCCTGTAGGTGATTTCTCCAGGTTTCCTGAGCTGGCGCAATATATAGTCACTATGGATGTTGACTCCCATTCCCAAAATAAATAAGAAGACACCTTGACAAAGAAGAGAGAAAGGAGAAATGTTTTAAAAAATGTGTCCAGATTTTGGTGCCTTTTTCACAAGCTAAGTTAAAATGAAAGGAGGGCCATTTAATTCCTAAAAATGAAGGGAAGGGCATTTAATTTCTAAATCTAAGAATGGTCCTAAGATACGGCAGTAAGTGGGGAGGGCAATGAGTCCTGGTCCTGAATGGGGAGCACTGGGTGGGCTGTTTCCTAGACTCAGGCTGAAAGTGCACAGTGGCACCACCGATGGAGACAGGTCGGAAAAGAGAGGACAGCAGGAGGCAGCACCATTGTCCAGTATTTAAATACATAAATAAACTAACGGATCATAATAGTAAGCCTTTAGCTCATTCAAATCGAGGTTGCATATCTCAACAGCCAATTCCAGCCCCTTTTCTTTTGCCATCTCCCACTATAGTGGCTGAATTGAGAAAGGTGGTCACACGAGCCAGTTCCACCAATAAGATGTAAAGTGAAGTCTTGGTGGGGGGACTTCCTTGGAAATCGTTTGCTTTTCTGATAAAAGGTGCAGGCAAGACCGGTGCCCCTACTTCCTCCTTCTTCCTGTCTTGATTGTCAGATGTAATGCCTTGAGCTACAGTCAACATCTTGCAACCATGAAGTGACTAACAAGAGGACCACAGGTAAACATGCTAAGAATAGGGGAGACAGAAAGTGCCTGAGTTATTAATGGTGTCGGTAAGCAACCACAGGAATGCAGAAGCCACCTACTTCGACACTTGTTGTTATGTAAGAACTATGAATTCTGAATTCTTCCAGTCACTATTATTTGGTTTTCTGAGCGCATTCCTGACTGAAACACCCACTCTCATAAAAATAATGTGAGCTAATTTGGAGGCATGGCCACTAACAAACTGACTTCCACCACTACCAGTTCACACACACACCCCCACACATACACATTCTGACATTAAAAGTAGCATACTACACACACTGTTCACATCTTTATTTGTTTTACTCAGCCACATATCCCAGAGGTGTCTCCACGTACACTATCTACTGGTACAGAAAGGGCCCTGTTCTGAGGTGAGGAGAGCCAGGATCGGGGATGCTAGTTCCTGCATCCCAAAGGGTATTACTATAGCCCAGAAACACTCACCGTCCCACATAAAGGCCCAACCCAACCTCTCAGCAAAGCACATTAGTGCTTTTCAAAATACGTCAGGCAAAAAGCAAGAATAGTTTAGTTAAAACAATCAGGTCTGTTCTCACCTTATTTGATACAATATAAAACAAGGATTTTCCACCTTGTCTAGTCAAACGATCATTGGCCTGGAAGAAAGGGTATCTGGGGAGGGATGGCAGGGGAGTGGGGAAGGAAGGGGGTTAGCACACACAGCAGTGTCTTCAACTATTTTAGATAGGGTGGTCAGGGAAAGTCCCTTTGAGGAGGTGCAAATTGGTGGTGAACTAAATAAAGTGAGGAATCAACCCCCATGAATACATGGGGGCAAAGCCTTCTAGGCCAAGCTTGTCCAGCCCGCAGCCCAGGACAGTTTTGGATGTGGCCCAACACAAATTCGTACACTTTCTTAAAACATTATGAAATTTCTTTTTAGCTCATCAGCTATCATTGGTGTTAGTGTATTATATGTGTAGCCCGAGGCAATTCTTCTTATTCCAGTGTATCCCAGGGAAACCAAAAGACTGGGCACCCCTGCACTAGGCAGAGGGAACAGTCCTACACAAACACACTGGGGCCGGACAAGCTGGACAGCTTGTGGCAAAGCAGGAAGGCCACTGGCACTGGAGCACAGAAAAGGAGGTGCAGCGAGCCTGGAAAAGAGGTTGGGAAATTGGAAACACCAAGAACATTTAGAATTTAAAGGCAGTGGGAAAGAATTTGTATTTTGAGAGTAAAGGAAATCTACTGGAGAGTTTTGCAATGGGAAACGGCATGATATGTGTTTAAACAATCTCTCTGGCTACCATATAGAGAAAAGACCGGGGTAGGGGTGAGGGAGGGGAAGATGGGATCATTAGCAGGTTATTGCAGTAGGGAGAGGCCATGGCGACATAGACTGTGGGAAGGGTTGTTAACTGGGGAGTAGGTGAGAAGTGGCTAGATTCACTTACCCAAGCAAAACCGTATGTCTGTGTACCACCCATCAGGGTATTCAGCACAGTAAATCAGATAGTAGCTTTGAAGGAATCCATTTCCAGCGCAGAAGGCAATGCCTCTGAAAATGAGTACAGCTGGATAAGGCCTCCCTCGATTGAGCAGTGAGTACACAAATGTCCTGGGACACATGGGGAGGAAAGGTTAGGATTCACTGTTAAAAAAGAACATGGTCTCATCCCCACCTCTTTCTTAAGCTCACACCCGAAGGTACAAAGACCAGACTGCCATTTAGCCTTAACCCAATACAAATTATCTTCTCCAGGAGGATGTGTATCACAGGCCAAAATAATTCCATACCTGAAAAGTACAACCACTAAGAAATAATCAACAACACAGAATACATAAATAATTTGCATAATAAATAATGAATAACATGTACCATGTACAAGATGGTACATGTACCATGTACATAATTCCACAAAGTGAAATTACCATGACAAAATAACAATTTTAAATAAGCACAATAAATATCCTTAAAGAAATGTTTCCTTCAAAGCAGAAAAAAATACTCACTTGAAAAAGAACTAAATAAAAATAATTTGTCAAAAATTACAAAGCCTATTAGTGATAGAGTAAGAGCAAGATCTAGGTCTTCTGATAATCCCAGTTTTCTTTTTAATTAATTCCTTTCTAATTACTCCAGAATTGGCATTTTCAAAAAGAGGTACTGTCACTGTATGCGAATGAGTGACAGATTCAAAAAAGAGAATCCATAGTTAAGTAAGTTTGAGACCTATAACATCAGACAAGACCTAATATTTACTCATTGTGGGATTTCTTCAAGCCACGGCATGCTAAGGACATGATGACTCTCTGAGAAGGAACCCCTGGTTTGGCACATTCATCACAGAGCTGGAGCTCCACTCCAGAAAACACTTTCCTAAGCAGGGCAGATAATCCTATGTAGACAATTGGGTCCTGAAGCTTTGAAAACTGATATTTGATTCTGTAAATTTTATATTCATTTTTCTTTCTCTGTCTCTTACACACACACACACACTCACATATGCACGCACACACACATGCACAAATGCACACGCACACGCTCATGCTAGACAACCACACACATCTCCAGAGCATTCATCTGATCTTTTGCAGACAAGAAAGACCAGACAAGATCTGCAGATTCCACAGATAATCACAGTTGTATTTTGGATAGAAACACCTATCCTTCAAAGTCTGGGAGGTTTGTCTTAGATCTCCTTCTCAAAAACAGGAAGTCTAAGAAATGCCCTGGGCTTCATGTCAGGGACGTGGGTCACCATTTTTTTGTACCTAGATCATATGTGAGCGTTGCCTCCTAAAATTGTTGTGAGGATGAAATTATCTAATTTGATGCTTCCTATGAGGAAGCATATTTTAAACTATGGAGTGACTGGCAAAAGTATGCAGACAGGTGTTGCACTATGTATGAGTCCATTTATTTATTTTTTTTTTTTTTGAGATAGAGTGTCATTCTGTTGCCCAGGCTGGAGTGCAGTGGGGTGATCTCGGCTCACTGCAACCTCCACCTCCAGGGTTCAAGCAATTCTCCTGTCTCAACCTCCCAAGCAGCTGGGACTACAGGCGCCCGCCACCACGCCCAGCTAATTTGTGTATTTTTAGTAGAGACAGAGTTTCACCATATTGGCCAGGCTGGTGTGGAACTCTTGACCTTGTGATCCACCTGCTTTGGCCTCCCAAAACACTGGGATTACAAGCATGAGCCGCTGTGCCCAGCTGAGCCAAATTTTATAAACATAAAACATCAAGGTTGTATTGAAGACCTGCACTTTCCCCCTTGGCAACAGCAATTTCACATCTTTCCTCTTGGCTTGAACATCGACAATTCTGTTGGAACAGGGAGGCTGCTCAGGTGTTCCCAGGATGCTGAAACTCCTCACCTCTACCATCTGCTCTCCTGGCCAGTTAATGGACTATGAGGATCTTTAAGTGTTTGTATTAAAAAGTTGAAGGGGAAAGAAAGGTTAGCTTCCTGTGCTGTCTCCCTAGAAACTAAATGCTATCTGCTGTCTCCCTCTCCCCTTCACACCTGGACTCAGGTCTACTATGTCATCTGCAGAATGCCTCCCACCCCACCCAATCACAACAGTGCCTGCAATTCATGTCTTTCAGTAAATAATTACCTTCTCTGTTTCTCACCTCCTTCAAAACACAAATACACACAACAAGGCAAAGGAAAATGAGTCTCTAATACCAGAGTGTGCATAAGTGAATTAGATTAATGAGCTTTTCTTCCTTCCCCAGAGGGAAAAAGAACAGAGTGAAGATGTAGTGGGAGAGCAAGTGCTCCGTGGTTAACAAGGTCAGGCTTGAAGGACTTTACTATTTCATAACTCTGTGATCTTGTACAAACTCCTTCATCTGTAAACTAAGGTTAATTATTAACCTCATTGGATTATAAGGTTGGACTCATTGGACTACTATTTTATGAGAATCCTTGGATTCCTATAAAAATTAAATAAGATGATGCAGGAAAAAGTAACTGATACAGGATTGTTGCTATTTGTTTCTCCTTGCATTCACACTCCATGAGAGCTTTGGGAGCCTGAAGGTGACTTCTTAGAAGAAAAGGATCCTGAAAGGCTACAGAAAGGTATTAAAAAAAAAAAAAAGTTGTATTTTTGTAATACTTGTAGTAGAAGTATGTATTAATCAGGGCAGGCTCACTACTGTAACAAAAAAACTATGAAGTATCAAAAGATCAACATAATAAAAGTTCATTTCTTGCTCATGCCACAGTAAGATCCTATTCAAGTTTCTGCTCCACAGCCATTCAGGACCCAGGCCCTTCCAAGGAATCTACCGCATCTATCCAGCAGGCAAAGGAAGAGAGAGGACAAGGAGGATTGTGTAGAAGGTTTTCTTAATGACCATGCTTCAGGCTGGAAGTAGCATAAATTCCACCCTCATTCTTTTGGCCCCACCCAACTGCAAGGGAGGCTGGGAAATGTAGCTGATTGGGTTTCCCAGCAGCAAAAAGAAGGAGGTTTGGTGAACACAGGGTACAGACAGAAGGCTTTGGAGAGCTAGAAGTCCCGGAGAACAAATAAAGTTCATCTAATCTGAATAACTTTGCTATAGGAAAGCTGGAAGTAGTTCAAAGCTTGTTGTACTGTAGAAAAAGACAAAGACAATGACGAGAAGCGGGAGAGAGTCTATTAGCCCAAGAGACTGGCAGTTGGTGCTGTAGAGTTGTAGATGAGTTTCCCCTTCAGATCCCATGCTCCACCTATGACTGAGACTCAGTTTCCCTGGTTTGGGACCACATCACTTTAATTACCTCCTACACCTCTAATGTAAATTTTCATTCTTTTATGGTTTGTTCTTATAGAGAGACTGATAAGTACTCTGTAAATATAAAGTTTTCTATCATCGCTAAGTAAATATTCATTTGGGGGGATTCATTGGAAAGGGTTAACTGAAATTGCAAATCCAAATTAAACCAAAGAAAAAAGCTTTAAAATTACACATCTTGCATAGACCAACTCATATTTAACTAAGTCTTCTTCAAATATAAATGCTATTGCTAAGATTATCAAGCCAATTGAAGACTTTTCACTATATGAAATTTTAGACTCATTGTCAATCAAAATAAATTCAAACTCTATATATAAATACAAAGTTTCCATGTATATATTTAATTATTCTGTATAGTAATTACTCCTTTCTTGACCCTGTAACCTTGTTCATCTACTACTCCATTTTCCTGCTTTCCTTTATAGCAACTCCAGAGAGCTGCCTATGCTTGCCATCTCTGTCTTCTCCTCCACTTCTTTCCTGCTTCCCCCTCCTTCCATGGAAACAAATCATGGTGAGTCCACCAGAGACGATCACATTCCCAAACCCAAGAATCAATTTACAACTCTCTTCTTATTTGACAGATTAATCACTCCCTCTTTCTGGAAACACTTTCTTTACTCAGCTTCCAGCACACCACACTCTCTTGGTTTTTCTGCTTCACTGATCTTTTCTCATTTTCCTTTGCTTGTTTCTCCTCATCCTCCTGACCTCTAAATATGAGAGTGCCCCCAGAACTCAGGACTCTTTTTCTTCTTTATTTACAGTCTCTGTCTATGTGATCACATCTAGACATATCATTAAATATCATTCCTATAATCTGAATGCGTCCCTCAAAATTTGTGTGCTGGAAATTTAATCCCCAATGCAACAGTGCTGAAAGGTGGGGCCTTTTAGGAGGTGTTTAGGTCACAAGGGATCTGCCAACATGAATGGATTAATGCTGCTATAAATAGGACTGGAGGAAGTGGATTTGCTTATTCTTGCCCTTTCACCTTCTGCCTTCCTCCATGTAAGAATACACCAAGAACGCCCCCATCAGATGCTGGCACCTTGGTCTTGTACATCTCAGCCTCTAGAACTGTGTGAAATAGATTTCTGCTCTTTGTAAATTACCCAGTCTCAGGTATTCTGCTAAAGCAGCACAAAACGGACAAAAACAATCATCTATAGAACAGCAAGTCCCAAATTGATATCTCCAGACAGGATATCTGCAGTCCTTAAACTCAGACTCATATAGGCAACCTCCTACTATACCTCTAGTTTAATGAATATTTCAATTTTAACACAGTCAAACCCAAACCTCTGATTCCCCATTCTTCTCCAAACTCGCACTTCCCTCAGTCTTCCCCATCTCAGTAAATGCCAAGTGTATTCTTCCAATTGCTTAAGCCAAAGACCTTAGACCATCTTTGATCTCTCTCTCTCTCTCTCTCTCATACCCCACACAAAATCTGTTAGCAATTTCTGTCATCTTTATCTGCAAAATATTTTCAGAATCTGGCCACATCTCACCAACTGCACTATTCCATCTGAGTTTCATCTCTCATTAAACCTCTCCTGGGTATTTGTAAAAGCCTCCTCATTTGACCACCGCACTTACTCCACGGCAATCTATTCTCCATACAGCAAACCAAGTAAAGCTGTAAACTGGATCATATTACTTCCCTCTGAAAACCTCCTTCATGACTAAACAAAAGCCCAAATTCTTGACTGCCTTCAAGACCCTAGACAGTCTGATTCCCCAACTACATCTCTGCTCTCTTCTACCACTTTTATCTTTGTCCATCTTACTGCAGCCACTCTGCTCAAATGTTA